AGTTTTCTATACTATATGCGTCGGCCCAGCATTGAACTGCAGAGTGGTAATCCGAAGGTCACCGCATACCATAACCGCTTAAGTCAGTATAGTAAACGAAATAAGCCTTTTAAATTAACCACAGGATTAACTCCTTACTTAGTCATGTTAAGTAGGGCGACTTCCACACTCTTCCCACTTCTGTACTGCGTTAACCTTTTTTTCTAGTTGGTGTTAGTGGTTCCACTAAGAAATGTACCTCAATGACCTCGCACGGGGTTAGGGTACACTTTCCCAACATACACGCGTGTGCCGCTTGTCGGGCTGGAGGTTAGCGACGATATTAAAGCCCATTTCAGCGTCCTCTCCCAAAGTTTGAGAACGCGACCCAACTTGTCCTCGTAACTTTTTTACTTTGCAGAAATAGTGCGATCCCCTAAAATCAGGTGCCCGTGAGCCTGAGGGGCGCGGCCCCACAAGGAATCCCTACCCTTTTGACCTAAACTGCCAGCTGTTTACGGTGATGGGATTGCCAGCGAAGACAAAAAGACTGAAATGGCCATTAACATTTCATATGCTGTCGCCCACCTCAAGTGGCGCACCGCTGGATGCTAGAACTTACAATCTGGCAGCTATCGATGAAAGTTCATCAAGCCGTGTCAATATCTCCCGATCTAAAAACCGGCACGACAAAGATCTCGTGGCTCTTTGTTTAGAGCGCTAGACTCTGATCAAAGGGGTTTCAAGTTCGAGCCGGAAATAGCCTATTCAGTCTCCTCTGCCTTTGATGGCAATGTCATCTGCCTGCAGTACCAAGCGTTGTGCGTAGGCTTGCGGTGCTAAAGAATGAGTCATAAAGCAGAACAGGACAATTGAATTCCGTTAGCGATCGGCGGACTATCATCAACGATTGACATGTTTACTGATACCCTGAGTTGTTTTAAGAATTCGCTTTAACGAAGAGAAGGTGACGTGGGGTTCCTTCACATACGAACTGTTTAGTTCTGACAGCCACTAAGCTCGATTTCCATATAAAAAACTGTTAGTGCGCAGTTGTCTGAATCAGAGATGGATTTAATTGTCTCGGCGTATGTTTCTCACTATAAGCAACCTAAAGCGCTCCAATTTATCACGCTGCGCTAGACTCCCTGGGTTAAAATGCTACTTAACTGACAGGGTACCCCGATCCTCAGAAAATCGAACTGCACTATCACCTTCTGAATGTGGCATTTGCTGCGAAAAGTGCAACTGGCACTGACTCATGTTGCCTTCGCCTGCTAAGCCTCGCGTACCCCCGCGCGTGTGACAACCCTTCGCGCCTCTGCTCGATTAAATACTGCATCTGCGTGCATCTTAGTAGAAACCAATCATCTAGCTTTGCAACAACTCGAAGCCAATCACCGTGCACCGTTTTATTGCCTGGATACAGGTGACAGACGCTGCGTCATAACACTGGTGCCCTCCAGAGCCTACAATCAACAACTGCTTACTCCGCGCGCCCGGCAAAGCTCTCTTTCTGTCAAAGTAAAAGCTTATACAACCTTTTCAGTCATCCCTGACTTCTGGTTTGTTAAACCTTCGTGTTGCCAAGTTCACAACGAGCGACAGCATTATTGCCCAGTCGAGATCCAAGCTGCCTCTTCTGTTTGTTCGACATCCTGGTTCCTGTGCACAGGTGTGGTGGCACTTCTAGGTGCTGGGTACTAGCCCGCCATTCAACTGTGTTCTGTCGCGCCTTCGGTCTTCTTGACCCTGTCTTGACACTGCGCCGAGATGGAAGAGAAGGAGGAATTGCGCAAGTCTAGATGAGTGTAAACTAATTCACAAACTCTGTTCACCGTTCTTGCACTCAATTCTCTGTGAGACCGATTGTGACTCATCTGAATCGACAGTCAAACGCTCACCGTAACGCAACTCGTAAGGGTATTTGTGAAATTTGGCTGGCTGCCATGCGAGAGGGAGGCCCCCAATACTCCGTATCTGCGTCGAACTGCGGTCTACCAAAATCCATATCAATACGTGTGGCTGGAATTGGAGTGACTGATGCTATACAATCCTTGTTCATTGCAGCGTAACACTCTGATCAAGACCATTATGGCTCCCCTCGAGAAGAATAAACGATGAGGCTTTGAGTATGCCAATTTCTGAATTTCAAGAATAAGTGCACAGCACCTCGATAAACTCCGGGTCTTTTATGCTTTTGCACAATGTACAAGCGAGTTCCTGGAGGCAATTCAGAAGGAGAAGGTGCGACCAGGAAGTACAGGAAGTTTATTGGTCTGACGTTTCGGATTCTTACTCGAAGCCGTCATCAGAGACATTGTCATCTTCCCACTATTTCTACTACTTTACATCTACTACACTTATTTCTCTCTAGAACCAAGTCTTTCATTGAATTGCAGCTGAAGTAAAAGTCACCCACCACGTCTGATACAGTTAGCTTGCTGCTCAAGTCGAACTAAGTTTGATTCTGTTTACTTGCGACTAGGATATATAGTGGCGTCTTCCACAAATGGAGAACAAACAGACCAAGATAGAACACCGAAAGGAAGTATTGTTAAAAAAACAACTGCACATATTTTCGTGATATTCACTGGGAAACAGTATAGCGTTTTGATCGGAACAGTGTTAGTCTTGTAGGAGTCTACCGCCTAGTCCAACTACGTGTGAGTCAACCTGTCATCGGCTGTCATAACTTGCATCCCGCGTGATTAATCAACTCGCGTCGGCCTTTTAAAGGACATCGATTGACTGGCTGCTTCAAACGCACGTACGCTTGATGCCAATCAATACTTCCGCCTCCTCTGATTGGTGGCAGCCGAGTGAGCACTCGTCCCGCAGCCAAAGCTTCACACACTCACACAAAACTTCTCAAGCACACTAGGCGTTCAGATCTAGCGGGCAGTGGCCCTACAACACGGCCTTTGTACCATCTATTTTCCGGCAGTAAATATCTGTCTACTAACACTGTTTTCCCTGAATCTTGATTTAGGGAAATCCTCTGCTTTTCGACATTACCTGCGACATCCTAACCAACTCTCAGTCTTGAAATTAATGTAAATTTTGGATTTTTCTTGTATATTGTAGTGCAAAAATGTTTGTCCATCTTTCAACCACTCTCCAGAAAATATAAACTCCTGTTGATCTGAGATAATCTGCTCGCGCTACTCGACGATGCGCTTCAAACCTCCGATCGTATCCAATAGGGAGATAATGACTGAAAAATATGTCTCCCTCTAGGTTCCTCACAAATATTGGGTGATTGATCCATGTGCTTTCGAGTTGCGCCGACACATGGCGCATGATCCGGAGGCTGACTCCATTCTTCAATCCGCACGATGCAAACGGTTGATCCTCCTTCAGCAATGCGTCCTCAAATACGGACTCG